GCCGCAGCAAACCTGCAGACTAAGCGAATTTCCATTTGACTGATTGGATTTACACTGAAATGTCTACTTAAAAATATAACATTTATTCCCGATTTAAATAGAATTAGTTTAACAAGTACTTAGGTTTGCTGCATCAGGGAGGGTAAAACTGTTTTTTTTTGTAAAATGTTAATAGTTAGTAAGAAATAAAAACATTTTCCAAATTTGATCAAAATATGTTCATAAACAAGCAAACTACAACAGTTTACTCATTCTCCATAAGAATAACATGGGAATTTTAAATTTACAATTTTTTGGAATTTTCTCCGTAACCATTAGGCGCATAATAACGCTTCAATATACTAAATTATTTGTTTTTTGAAGCTCTACAAAATGGTTTGGAAATAAATTGCTAAATTTTATGTTTTTTGGGTCAAAAATGGGAAAAACCTATTTTTACCCCATAAAACCCCCCGTAAACACCCGTTCCCATGGTCCGATCATGCTGGATCGCGAACTCGTTTGAATAAACGTAGGTTTACACGTTTGTACCAAATTTCATCAAAATCGGATCATTTTTGCTCGAGTTATCGTGCTGACGGACACACATATATATATATAAATATATAAATATATATAAATATATATATATATATGAATTTGAACGGATGGTGTTTTTGGCCTCTAGGGACCTCAAAACAAAAAAAAATCGGTCCCGCGTCCAGGTCTTACCATGAGTACTACGGTAATAGCTTATTCCCTATATGGGAAATTCGCTAATAGGCACGTTTATTAAAGCAGCAATTAAGCTATTAACGAGTGCTGTTAGCGAATTTCCCTATAGGGAAGTAGCTATTACCGTAGGTCTCATGGTAAGACTTAGGCCCGGGACCGATTTACTTTTTCATTTTGATGTCCCCAGAGGCCAAAAACACCATTCGTTCAAATTTTTATATATGTATATATATATATATAGATTTATATATATATATGTGTCCGTGAACACGATAACTTGAGTAATTTTTATCCGATTTTGATGAAATTTGGTTTGAAGGTGTAAGGCGGGATAAACTTGAATGAGTTCGCGATCCAGCATGATCGGACCATGGGAACAGGGTTTTATGGGGGGTTTTATGGGGTAAAAATTGGTTTTTCTCACTTTTGACCCTCCAAACACAAAATTTCCCAATTTTTACCTAAACCTTCTTAAAGAGCTTAAAAAAACAAACAATTCAGTATATCAAAGTGTTTTTGTACGGTTATTGGTTACGGAGAAAACTAAAAAAATTGTGAATTTAAAATTCCCATGTTATTCTTATGGAGAATATTGTAAAATGTTGTAGTTTGCTTGTTTATGGATATCTTTTGATCAAACTTGGCAAATATATTCATTTTCTACTAAGCAATAATTATTTTACTTAAAACACACACTTTTTTAGTTTCCTTGTGGCAGCAAACCTAGGTACTCGTTAAACCTAATGTTATTTAAATAGATCGATTGAAAATCAATTCAGCCAAATGGAAATTCGCTTAGACGGCAGGTTTGCTGCGGCGGGGGTATTTTACTAATGTTAAACATCATTTACAGCATCGTGCACTTTATTCCACGACCGAAGAACTTCGTGACTGTCTTCTAAAGTTGACTAAGTTGCACTCAATAAGAATGTAACCCCAGTTAATGTTGTATGTAGATTTGCTACTAAAGTTGTTTTTTGAACACTCTTAAAATACAGTTTGACCCAATGTTCAAAGTAATTTAAGGGAATTGATTTGACCTCTAAACAATGGTAGAGACTACTTTACTCCTAACTTGAGCGAGTCTAGACCAGCTGGTAGAGGGCAGAGCTCTACCCGCATTTAGTCCTTTACAGAGGTCCTGGGTTCAAATCCCTTCAATCACCAATGGATTTTTATCCACGTGATAATGCCACAACCCTGTAGCTAAAAAATAAACAACAAAGAAATGTTTTCCCTCTATTGATGTGATATGTGTTACAATTCTTTACCTATAAAATATCTTTCCAGCAAGTTTGAACGGAATTCTTTCTACCGTAAAAGATTTATTGTTCAACAAATATGTGGTTTGATATTTATTGGTCTTGAGGCATCGACAAGCCTTTTTGGTGGAAGTTGTTTGTGTTTTCATTTAACCTCACCGAGGCTTACTTACAATGGTCTTTCTTTTATATATTTTTACTTGCCGTAGAGATATTAACAGTAATAAAGCTATGACGGATATGAGGAAAGAAGTTATGTGAGCTAAAATCGTGAAGTATAAAAATTGCTCTGAAAAAATTACAGTTTTTAACAAAAAGTTAAAACAAATTTGCAATTCCTTACTCTTGGAGCATTAAAAAAACGTGGTAATCCAACAGGCATTCAGTAAGCTTTTCAGTCATGAAATACTTTAATGTTAAAAGAACATTGAGTTATAAAACATACTTACTATGTTCTAATGAATTTCTAAAATTAACTTTCTATTTCTATTATAAATTAAATACGGTAACAATTTCTCAAATCAATTGTCAGTTGTCCAAGTGAAACAACTGTTAAGGACCATCTCTTGTTAAACTTAAATCAGAGTTGTTTCGTATTTGTGTCAAGAAACTGTCGAAAGTTTTGACGGAAAAAGTTTTAATGAGTCTTAAACGTCACACTGCTTCTTCTCAACGCAGTACATTGCTGAAATTTCAAACCATTGGATAAGGAAAGACAATACACGCTTCCACATTTATAACTTTTCACATTTAATAACACTCGCTAATACTAGGAACAACACACTAGCCATAACTCTTGAACATGCTTTAATCCTCTTAGTGAACTTAAGTAGATCCAAGCTTTATCCATAATGACGCATTAGGAACATTAGCGATGAAAGTAAGCTCAAGCTTTGTAGAGTATTTCTAATAATGCAAATCCAGACTAATACCTTTGGCATTACATTTCTAGGGAGGAATACAGCCTTTGTATTCTTTCCCAGTTTTCCTTCTCGTGTAAAATTGCAGCCTCGATTCAATTATTTGGATGCTGTCGTATATTCGTATATTATTCGAAAGCTCTATTTTCCTCTGTATTTATAAGTATTGTGTACATTTCTAAAGAAGTCTCTTGGAAAACTTGTTGGCATCTGTTTTTCCAGTGTAATATCTATACACTACCATGACCTCATAACATGTTTTAATTACTGAAGTTATAAATAATCAAATAATGAATTTAAACCAGTGAACGTTGTAATTGAAAATGTACTAAATAGTACTTATGAAAAGCATTCAGTAATAAAATCATATTTTGCATTGTTAACACGTTGGGTGCTGATGACGGGAATTCCCGCAATTGCTTAACATTGAAATAAATGCAACTTTTATGTTCAAACATGTCGACAGCACAAATAGTGTTAAATGAACACACAATCACCAAAAGCCATAATACTCATATACAAAATGAATTATTATAGTTGGGAGGAAAGACTAGTACAAATTAATTACGAAAATCAATATGCATAATCCGTTTTATGTTTGTGAAACCACGTCTAAGACGTGTTCACTTATCATATGACGTAAGTGTGGAATTTGCATTGTTGATCAGCTGTTCACAGCTGGCGTTATTGCATAAGTTTATTACTCGGGCATAAAACAACAGTACCGAGTAATTCCTCATAAACTTTGAATGGTTCAGCTGGAAACTACACATTACTACACTATAAAACCTCTGATGAGTAGCTATAAAGCTCTCTTGGTTATGAAATTTGCAAATAAATGTGTTTAACAATCAATAATACTCATATTGAACCAACATTGATTATAGTTGATAAAATGGTTTAACCAAACAGTTTACTGATGCACATAAAAATTAAACATTCATGGTTAAGAAGATTAAGTTAATTTAGGTTTCAAGTGCTTTTGCAAGTTAGAGAATAGAGTTAAAGCCTCTCTCCTCACTCAGATTTAAGTTTTTGTTTAAAATACCTCTAATTTATTTCTCCTCTAACTATTGTTCACTGTTCAGCGAATGAACATTTCTGAGAACGTACATTCTCCTGCGTTTTATGATAAATGGGAGAAAAGTAAATCATCTCTTATATTGTAAAACACCTGTTTTTAGGCGTAGAAGTCTTTATAGAACTTAATAACGTACAGGGTGGCGCAGATGGATCGGGTGGTTTTAAAATACTTGTCAAACTGTCAATTTTAAAGGTATTGGATTGAAATAAAGTGCAAAACGTGTACTTACAATGGAAGTTTATTGACAAAAGATTTGTTAAGTTAGTTTTTAAAAATTACATCCATCAAATGCCTTCCTTCTCGAGCAGCCTTCAACTTCTGAATTACGGGTCTACATGAACAAACCCCGGACCATTCAAGAGTTGAAGGCTGCAATTCACAACGAAATCACATCAATTCCTGGTGATGTGCTTGAGCGAGCAATGCGGAACCTCAAGGACCGACACCAAGAATGCGTAGCTCGAGAAGGAAGGCATTTGATGGATGTAATTTTTAAAAACTAACTTAACAAATTTTTTCTCAATAAACTTCCATTGTAAGTACACGTTTTGCACTTCATTTCAAACCAATACCTTTAAAATTGACAGTTTGACAAGTATTTTAAAACCACCCGATCAATCTGCGCCACCCTGTACAATTATTTGTCTATTTAAATCAATTTTAAGTGTGATAAAAAAATATGTTAATTTATATTTTAACTAACTACGATAAAGATGCATATTGCAACTTTGTAAAATGTCAAAACCAGTTAGCTAAGAAACTACGGGTATGTCAATAAATAAAAAAAGTTTTTGGAAATAATTCTTAACTTATTTAACAGTTTTCGAAGTTCGTGCGAAAACGGGCAAAGGGAAATGAAAAAAAATGTTTAAAAAATAAAATATATATTTTGTTCACATAATTATTCTACAGTATCATGTGAAAAAATACAATTAGTCACATATAACAATTTTAATACCGGAATGTTAACTGTTTTGAAATAAACACAAATTTATTACGAAAAAAAACTATATTTCATTTTTACTTCTGAACGCAGATTGGATGAGGAGGAACATTGCAGAGACACTCAGTGTTGGGCCAGTCTCTACTTGCACTCAGTTTGTCTCCTACCTGCATCTTGACATCACCAAACTGACACTGCAACTCTGTAAAGTGACAGTGATTAGTTACAAACTGTGTACAGTAAGGAGGAACTCTACAGAGACACTCAGTGTTGGGCCAGTCTCTACTTGCACTCAGTTTGTCTCCTACCTGCATCTTGACATCACCAAACTGACACTGCAACTCTGTAAAGTGACAGTGATTAGTTACAATCTGTGTACAGTGAGGAGGAACTCTACAGAGACACTCAGTGTTGGGCCAGTCTCTACTTGCACTCAGTTTGTCTCCTACCTGCATCTTGACATCACCAAACTGACACTGCAACTCTGTAAAGTGACAGTGATTAGTTACAAACTGTGTACAGTAAGGAGGAACTCTACAGAGACACTCAGTGTTGGGCCAGTCTCTACTTGCACTCAGCTTGTCTCCTACCTGCATCTTGACATCACCAAACTGACACTGCAACTCTGTAAAGTGACAGTGATTAGTTACAATCTGTGTACAGTGAGGAGGAACTCTACAGAGACACTCAGTGTTGGGCCAGTCTCTACTTGCACTCAGTTTGTCTCCTACCTGCATCTTGACATCACCAAACTGACACTGCAACTCTGTAAAGTGACAGTGATTAGTTACAAACTGTGTACAGTAAGGAGGAACTCTACAGAGACACTCAGTGTTGGGCCAGTCTCTACTTGCACTCAGCTTGTCTCCTACCTGCATCTTGACATCACCAAACTGACACTGCAACTCTGTAAAGTGACAGTGATTAGTTACAAACTGTGTACAGTAAGGAGGAACTCTACAGAGACACTCGGTGTTGGGCCAGTCTCTACTTGCACTCAGTTTGTCTCCTACCTGCATCTTGACATCACCAAACTGACACTGCAACTCTGTAAAGTGACAGTGATTAGTTACAAACTGTGTACAGTAAGGAGGAACTCTACAGAGACACTCAGTGTTGGGCCAGTCTCTACTTGCACTCAGTTTGTCTCCTACCTGCATCTTGACATCACCAAACTGACACTGCAACTCTGTAAAGTGACAGTGATTAGTTACAAACTGTGTGCAGTGAGGCGGAACTCTACAGAGACACTCGGTGTTGGGCCAGTCTCTACTTGCACTCAGTTTGTCTCCTACCTGCATCTTGACATCACCAAACTGACACTGCAACTCTGTAAAGTGACAGTGATTAGTTCCAAACTGTGTGCAGTGAGGAGGAACTCTACAGAGACACTCAGTGTTGGGCCAGTCTCTACTTGCACGCAGTTTGTGTCCTTCCTGCAAACCTTGAATGCCTGTTAAAAAAGATTTTCGTTTGTAAATTGGTTTGTTGAAATATATGTTTCTATGTAATACAATAGTTTCAAGGTCACGCAACTAGTTTGAACTTCATGAAGAGGTCATCTTCAGAGTCCAGGGGATGTCACAATAACTTCATCGGAAGTTCGATGATACACATATTGTACATTTACACACAAACACGCTCACGATCACGAACATAGTTACGTAAAAAAGGTACATTTACAACGATTAGGAGACAAATGAAAATGGTAACTTATGGATAATGCATCACGACCGGGTGGATGTACCGTCTGGACTGCCTTACCTTCATTTGTTAAAGTAATGTATTTACTATTACTTAACAATATGTTTTAGCAATAAAAGTTCTTATAACAGTAGAACCTTTGACCAATAATCAATGGTAGAACTTTTGAAATAGAATAATGAATCAACCAACCTGAATTTGGAGCTTGGGAACTGCCTTTAGCGGTGACTCCTGAGACTACCGAGTCGGATTTTTCAGCTGAAATATAAATATAATAATAAAGTCGTTCCGTTTTACTAAATACAGGTGTCCGAAATAATACGACTACTACATAATTCCTACATAATAATATAACATAATATAGTTTACCATTGTTCATTAGAAATCCGACCAACCGGTTTATTTGGGAATGTTTAAACTGATAAAGTTGCATTAAAGAAATATAACAAGAGTTTGCAGGTGATAGTAATGTAATAAAATCCTAGGATATATTGTTTGGTTGTCTGAATCAGCAGTACTTTTCTTAAACTTTTTATGAACTTCCGTTACCTTTCAAAACGTTGTTTAGGTTATATATTTTGTTTAATCAAGATTGCGGTTTCTTAAAAATCAAGATCTCGGGGTTCAGAGTCTTTTCGTTAAGTGTACAAAAAACTAAGTTTGGAAAGTAACTACAGCTTTTTTACAACGTGTGAAATTATTCTTGTTAGTATTTTTAGGATACATCGGAAAAGATAAAAATCTCTTATACTAATATTATGCAACTTTAAATTCTTTAAGACGATAAGTTTTGACACTTGGTGAAATATAGTTCACAGGACAAATATATGACAGGAATTACGATCCCATATACTTTTAAATTTTTATTCATTTATCCAAAAGTTAATAATAGAAAAAGGTGTGTTTTAAAGACAGATACGTTGGAAGTTATAGGGCCCCGATAGTAGACACATATTCTTTTTATTATGAAAAAATGAACGTTATAATCTTCTAGTAATATTTGTAGTAAGATTAAAATTGTAAGTTATTGTGTGAACTACTGCACGAAAACTATACAGAGCTACTAATTTATCTGTATCAAATCGAAGAGTGAAAGTAGTCTACGGTTTAACTCACGGCATCGCCAGCCAATAGGACAGCAGTCGTTGTCCCCGTAGTATACCGGCACACAGCCTTCAGCGATGCGTCCGCCATAGTGCAGCTCAAGGTTACAATTAACTTTCTGGCAGAAGGGTTCAACTAGAGTTCCTGCAAAAGAGCAAACAAAGATAAATTTATCTAATGATCTAAACACATTTATTCAGTACTACCTTAGGCTAATATGTTCATTCTATCGTGGTACTCGTAGATTTATATATAAACAAGGCTTCAATTTCCCCCCAGATAATAGACCAATCACAGTTCACTAAACATTGATTGCTTTGTTAGAGGCACAAATTGCACTGAGGCACTTATCAGCCCAAAATACACACTTTGACCGGTAATAATGCTTTTAATCTGTTAGATAATGCACAACACAACACTTAATGTATTTATGTTGGTTTCCTATGTTATTTAAGTTGCCAAAATTTAATATAAATCTAAAAAATATATTGTCTCTAAATATAGAGTAATTAAAATCCTCATAGGCCTTTATTTATGCTGTTAATTTATAGAGCTGCAACTTTTATCTTTGAATAGAAAAATGGATCCCTACCCAAATTTTAATTATATATAAAGAATTGGCAACAGAAAACACTCAGTTTGATTACATGTTATTGAATTGTATATTTTTCCCCATACAAAACAAAAAATCCATGCATCCAATTCAATTTCGATTATAATGTTAAACAACTGAAAAACTTCCAAGGCTTTTTCTGCTGCTCAGCCAAAGAAACCCTAAATAATAAAGAAGCCCATGCCGCAATTGTTTCATGTAAACATTGTAATTCTTCTTAAAATTTGTCACATTAAATATTGGTTAGTTAAATATTGGTTAAAATTGGTTCGATGATCTCACCGTTGAATCCAGCCTGACAGATGCACTGGAAGCAAGGTTCATCCTCTGGGTAGAATTTCTGACCAATCTGGTATTGCTTGTTGTTATATTGACACACAGGTCTGGCAGCCTTCTGTTCAGGACTTTGGTCTGAAACTGAAACTACAATTGTTAGCCAATTGTAATTTTAAAATAAAACTGTAGTACATACATGGTAGCCTACGTCAGTTCATATGTGGATTATCACTGACCCCTGGAATTTGATAGGTTGGATTTGATTTATACGGTTGCAACACATCTGACTGCATACGAAGTTGAGTGAAGGATTTGTGTTGAATGCATGAAATGACAGTTTAGTCATTGACTAAGATCAACTAAAATCTTCTCCAGACAATTTATAAAAACAAACTTTCTAGAACAAGTGGGCCCAGTTTGGAATCATAAAGAATCTACTGATTGACTTTTTTCACATGAACCAGCCATATGCAAAAAACAACGCAAGCGTGATGTCTACCCAGCTACTCAGTTAAGAGAAAACGTCTTCCATATTTACTTCTTACGAGTAGTATTTCAAAGTCGGTTGGTAAAACGATATCGTACGGCCAAAACTACTTTGTCTAACTACTCACTCTGTCAATGTCAGATCCTTCCCTGAGGGATCAATTGTTCCGTAGTTTGTTTGCAACAATTCAGCTCTATACTGCTTGACATATAAAATATAGCGCTAAGAGACCAAGTGTTCAGAAACTGCCAACAACTACTTGCTCTATAATTTAATATTCTCCTGTGGGACCGAGTGTTCCAGACCAACAATTGTTTTGTGGTATGTTTGCTATTTAGCTTAGTTGTATGGCTCAAATTTCTGTCAAAGATTATAAACGCCCTTAGAGACCAAATGCATGGTTCTCGTAAATAAACAGCCAAACTCCGGGAAATGGTTCTATGGGTCAAAATAAAGAGAAAATCATGAATGAATTGTTCCAAAGTATTTTTGTCAACCAGATATCAGCCATTTTGTATTCTTTATTGAAATATATTTTTTTATAGAATCCTGCGTCACTTCGTGACCTAAAATTGATAAATGATAAATTTGATATATAGTTGATAAGAGTGAAAACAATCATTTCTCATCATATACCTATTATTTTCATTATGTGTGCGTTCTCTTTGAGGCATCTTAGTAAAATTACAAAAATGCTAATCAAACATACAATAAAAACAAAAAATCCCTTCTTTGAATTTTAAAGAAATGGCATTACAATATTTTACTTAAATTTTCTAAAACATCAATAAAACATACTGTGAAAACACAAAATCCCATCACAACACAAAATCCAACGTAAGTCATTTTCTTCTTTACATTTTATACAAATAGCATTGCAATATTTTACTTGAATTCACTGAAACATCACCAACTACAACTACAACACCATTTTCGTACGGATGTAAGAAAATGTAAACTTGAAACAGTTAAGATGATTGACGACAGAATTCAGCACTGACTCTGAAAATTTAAAAGGCCTGTAGGACAAAGGGTTTTAACAATATATCATACAAACCACCAAAAGGTACATCTAGAGGATAAGAGCTTTAAATTGACACCAAATATGCCTATAAAAATAAATATTTAGGGGTAGATTTGCTGCACACAAAAATCCAATAAATTCTTTTAATAATATGGATTGTCAAATGTATCGTTATATAAGTTGAGATGTATGTTATAATGTTAAGGTAGAAGAGACCTATTTTGGAAAATAATAATAACTTGGTGCAAATTAAAATTTCAAATTGGCCAATTTAATTTGTATGATTTAAGCTACTAAAAACGGAAATTTAATAAAGAAATGTTGTAGACTTATGCCTATACGCTTTAGGCCAGTCAATAACAGCATTCAACCTCGCAAACGCGCATGTATCTACGATTTTTTTATATGTTGTTAGGTCCCCTAAGAGTAGTTTATACCAAGGTTTGCAACCCTGAAAACCCTGTGCTTCTCCCATGATACTTGAAAAACTGTAAAATTCTGGCTATTTTTTTGTTTTATTAAAAAAAACTGATAAAGGAAGCGTTTATCAGGTATATGTGTCCTGTACTTTTTTAAAGTTAACTAAATTTGCAACAATTGGAACCCAGTTTGAGCCCATTAAGTCAATTTCTTGCAGATATACAGTTAGTAAAAAATAGGACATTTTTTTCAAACATTGAAAGATTATCAGTAGGCTCATTTGCCAAGATGCGTGCAGGCTGAAGTAATGATCATAGAGAAAAGTCTTTAAGAAGGATTTTGTAGAGAATTTAATAAGCTTTAATCCAATTCCAAAGTTGTGTGTCTAGGCCTTACAGTTTCACAAACAAATTTAAAAAATAAAAATATAATATTTTGCGTAAATGTTGAATTTGGGGTTGTATTTCTTAAAAAGATTCGGACTCTACCTTCAAGACATGCTTGGCCTAAAAAAAACACATGAAGTCAGACGAGTATCGCACGTTCACAGGGAGGTCCTCTCAAAACGTCGCTCTGATAAGTTCTGGTCTGGTTTGTGGACATATTTGACCATACAACAAGTACTGATGAGGTCCATGAAAAGCCAGGGTGGGCTCAACATTTGCGAGGAGGTGGAACGTTTCACTGAAACTACGACTCTAACATCAGAACAGCACGTTGATATGAGGGCATCCCAAATTGCGAGAGACACTGCAGATACCAAAAAAATAAAGATCTGGTTCAACACCCACCTTCCATTTCCAGTCAGTGATCGCCTATTTTCTATCCACAGTGGTATCGTCGGAGGCCCTGATAGCAACTTCCACTTATCTTAAGAACTGGGAGCAGGAGGAGTGAAACAAATTGTTGGTAACAACTTTGGTAAAGTGACTTTTAAATGAAAGGACAAAGTGAAGACCTTGACGTCAGGCACCACGTCTGTAAAAGTATTCAACAAGAAAGTTGATGTTGATCTCCTTATATATTCCAGAGGGTCTGCGTCACAAAACAATCAGATGTACAATTGAAGAATTGAAGCAGCATTTTGCGTATGAGCTAGCACCGTATCCACTGTCTTTATTCACTTAAGAAGGAATGCGCAAGGGCACAAAAATCTTCCTTCTATTCAGCATTTACACCGCTCACTGAAAACATCATCCCAGGAAACGAAGCGTTCATAGTGATTGATGGTGGTTACATCTTGCACAATGTTATCTGGCATCGAAATGATTCAGTCAGATGGGTGATGTGGTGGGATATGTCAGCTATTTTTACTTTAAACCACTTTGGTAAAAACGTTGCTGTGGTAATTGATGGATACCCCCAAGATGCAGCTATGAAGAGCAGAGCACTAAACCAGATGAACGCCTGTGACGCTCTACTTCTCTCTCATGCAGTGACATTTTGTTTGATGAACTAATGCCCATCAAAGTGTCCCAAGCAAAAATGCTCTCAAATGAATCTAACAAACACCGACTGATCACCATGTTGTGTACTGAATTTGAGATGCATCGTATTTAAATACATCAATCTCAAGAGTACCCCGATTCTGATATAGTGAGGACTGCCCTCTCCAAGAGTTCATCGTTCGATCAGGTTTTTATCATTGGGGAGGATGTCGACCTACTGGTGCTCCTCAGCGGATTAAGCTCTGGAGTCTGGACAGATGAACGTGTACTTCCAGAAAGGCGGGAGAGGTGGATCAGAGTGTGCCCAATATCCAGCAAATTCAGTATATTTCTTAGTAATAATTGTTTGTTTTTTAGAAGCCATGTGTTACATCTATTATCTATAAAATGTGAATTTCACATCCTTGCACTCTTTAAAGAAATAAACAATATAATCTTAATAACAATAATCTTAATAACAACAATCTTAATAACATTAGTCAGTACCTACATTGATGACATCATTAACGCCTAAGGCCTAGACACACCACTTTGGAATTAAATAAAAGCTTATTAAATTCTCTACAAAATCTTGCCTAAAGACTTTCTCTATGACCATTACTTCAACCGATACACATCTTGGCAAATGACCCTACCGATAATCTTTCAATGTTTGAAAAAAGATTCCTATTTTTTACTAACTGTATATCCGCAAGAAATGGACTAAAAGGGCACAAACTGGGTTCCAATTGTTGCAAATTTAGTTAACTTTAAAAAAGTATCGGACACATATACCTGATAAACGCTTCCTTCAGTTTGTTTTTTCAATAAAACAAAAAAATGAGCCAGAAATTTACAGTTTTTTTAGTGTCATTGGAGTAGCACAGGGTTTACAGGGTTGCAAACTTGGGTATAAACTCCTCTTAGGGGACCTAACAACATATACAAAAATCGTAGATACATGCGCGTTTGCGATGTTTGCCTTTTTTCGTGTATATATTGACTGGCCTACTTATGTTATGAACATATGATAATTAAGTCTAATATAGTGGGCTACTGTCAAAGTGTAGGTCTAGTCAGTGTCAGTGTTGGTGTTATTTTGCAACAAATTTTCAATATAAAGCTACTTACGGCATATTTGATCCACATGACAGCACTTGCCGTTCTCATAGGTCCTGTAGCAGCCAGGCGGAGGTGGTCCGATAAACAGTTCTGGACATTCTATATTCACACACGTGAAGGACATTCTACAACAAACGAAATCGTATGTTTCATCAGTCTTTTCGACACGAGATGAAGTTTAATAAACAAATTGACGAACTTGGTGGAAAATGAACGTTTTATAATGACATTTTGCCCGTTTGAGAAACTATAATATTTGTCGTCACACTGCACCATTCTTAAGCAAACTAAGTTACAAAACGAAAATAATTCCGTGTAAAGATACGTTCCCGAGATGACGTCCATCTTGTTTTTAAATTTTGCCATTGAGAAAACGCAGCTGTTTAATAAGGTGTATTATTTAGTCTATTGCGTTTCTGTTCATTATACTAGGTAGATATGGGGAAGGAGCTGGTCTTGTGACTAGAGCGCGGGACTTCGGTGCCTGAGATTCCGGGTTCAAATCCCTCCAAATCACCAGTGGATTTTATATAAGTGATAGATAATGCCATAACCTAAATTATGATGGTCTGATCAATTCAGGTCTAGCCTGAAGTAATGTGAAAAAAATCCCGGGCTCGTGCCTAGCGTCCTAGGGGAAAAAATACTAAGTAGATATCGATGTGTTTCACTATTGCTTTCTTAAAGATCTTGGGCTTTAAGCAAAACACACTTTTTCACCTTGTCATGCTTATTACATTATTCAACCTAAACAAATTTGAGACCCCTTTGACAACAATCCAACAATCGACTACATTGGATTGAAAAAAAATCGATACAAATGATTGCTTACAATAGAATTAGTGAGAATAATGTACTGCTGAAGTGTAAGGGAGCAAACAATTTGTTACCCCTTATGCGGAAAAAGAGTTTCTTTACACCCACAACGCATGTATTGAAAACGGCTGTTTTTGCCGCAGTATGATACATAAGCCACTCAAATCATGTACGGTACAACGAAAATACATTTGATGCACCCCTCCGGACCCCTTTCAGAAAATCCAGAATTGTGGATTAAGTGAATTTCTGTCTAACTTCCTGAGTTGTTGGAAAACAAAATAAACCTCTTAAGCGAGGATAACTAATTAATTGACCCTTTAACTACATCTTTCCATTAGAAATTGTTGAAGCTGTTTCTAGCTCACATTATATGCACTAATCTCCCCATACAGATAAGAGAATGGTAGGGTGACAGTGTCACGGTTTTCAGCAGAAAGATCGGGAATTGGCTTCTCGGACTGAGCGATGATGCTGCCGAAGAGCTAATCAGATCCCAGTACAGGACATAATGAAAGTCGATGAAATTCCAAAACTAAATTAGGCTAACAATTCCAAACTACTTCAGTGCTGGCACCCTCATTCAAGTATTCTTAGTTATTATATTATAGACCTGTTCAACTCATTTTAAGTAATTGTTCATGTTAATTTAGTCTTTTTTGCCAACGATATGGCAAACAAAAAATTTAACTTCTTTTAATAGTTATTAATAATAATGATTATTTGTTTATTTTGTTAACTTGTTCGTGAAGTGGTGAGCGACGGAGAAGACTCTCCCCACACGCAGATGTACAGTCTTTGTGGGGATTTGTTTTTTTCTTTGCTCATTTGTTTTAAGCCACGATTGTACTCTGATTTGTAATTTTGGAAATAAATATATTCTTATTCTTAATTATTTTCAAATTCTAAGAACTTACTTGTTATCTGGGAAAGACCCGGCACAGCGACATTCTACAATGCATACATCTTCTGTCTCCTTCAACTGGAAGCCTTGCTCGTATTCCTTCCCCTTGAAGTGACATTTCGATGACGTACGTTGGTTGATTGTACCTGCACACGTGTTATATATGCTAGGAATACCACCATGGTAAATTATACTTATACTGTGTTGAAGACATGTAATGCAAAAGTATCATGACAAATTTAATAGATTCTATTGTATTTTAGATTTTCTTTTGGACTCTAATTACAGATGTACTGTAGATGACTTTTTGCAACAGTTGCCATACTATACGCCATGTACCAGTAGCTGTGGTGCGTAGTTTCAGACTAGGCTCACAGTCATTGTTAGCTTTTAATAAATTTTCTTGCTGGATTGCTTGGCTTACCACCTAGAATTGTAAGAGGAAACTTATGTTCGTTTACATAGAAATTTTGTTCTTGTAAAAGTACATTATTTTGAGAGTAATTTACAATTTTAATGACTCATAGGTCCGATTGTGGAATCCATAAAATCCATCTTTACAGTTAATACAATAAGGGGGTTCTTTGTAACTTTCTTTTCTAGTAGCCCAACTTAACCTTTTTGGATATTGAGGTGTCATTTTAAAGCTGTTGATCCATTGGAGGGTGAATGGTAACAAAAAAGGTGCTGTAATTGAAATTACATGAATGTTAGACTCCCCCCCCTTTGCTTTCCATTTATTTCTTGAGTTATCTTTTAAAAATTCAGTGTTGCTGACCGTGGTCCAAATTTCTTTAAAACGAATTGAATGTGAAACGGACTTTGCTGATCCTTTAGTTTGTTTAACCAGGTTTAGTCAGGTTGTAAACATACGGAACATTTTTTGAAAATAGATTCGTAATAGGTTACCCCTTTCTAATTGTAACCTTATTGAGGTAGGTTTAAATGACTATTTATGATGTATTTGTAAAAAATATAAATTTTATTTATAGTTCAATTAATAACTCTCTCAAACAAACATATATTTGACACATATGTTTGAAACATATATTTGAAAGCTCAAAGGGTATTGCATGGATTGGACTCGTTTTGCCTCTAAAAGTTAGGGTTTAACCTATTAAAATGCGCATGCTGCGTAGGGGTCCATTTGTATTTATAATATAAATAATTTTAAACTGCACTGGTGAATTTTCTTGCTCCTAACCAGTACTACTTTAATAAAAAAATTACAATAGTTAGATAATTTAAGTCAAAGGACTCATTAAAGTATATTTCTGACGTATCAGAACTACAGAGAAGATAGAGGCATATACACAATTACCAGCAATGGAAGTCGGGGCAGATCTACATTATCGCAATTAATTACGGAACTCTTTTATACAAACTCAGAAAAAGACAAACAAATTGTAATGTTTTTATTGTTAGTTTAAATTACAATTACAATTAATTACTTACTACAATCGTAGCTCAACGGACAGCCGTCGGCCCCCATCTTGGCTGGCTTGCATCCGATCTCTTTGTAATACTCCTTCTCGTAATTTTTGCACACTCCTGTAATAAATATAATCAAAATAATGTTTACTAACATTAATCAGGAAATAGTGATTTGTGTAGCCTAAATACTGGGTGAAGTGGTACTTTTCTGCACACGAGAGAAATGTTGCGCACGAGCCGTAGGCGAGTGTGGAAGGTCTTTCGAGTGCACCAAAGACAGTTTGCACTCGCGTTACACATTATATTTTACCTACAATTACTATAAAGTGCACCATCACTGATCGTTGTCGTAATATCTTTAAGTGTCCAGCTTATTTTCAAGCGTACACATATTATATATTACGTGCCTAATAAAAGCACTCTTTTTTGTGCTGTTAGGTTGGGAAACTGGTGTTCGGAAAAAAAGAAAAAACTTTGCGACAAAAGTTTCTACATCGAACCCAATGTCAATCATTCATTTAAGATTATTTGCTCTTGATTAACAGCAAAGAAGAAATATTTATATTCAATTTTAAAGATTAACGTTTAGATAAAAAAAAATATTAAAAATACGTTCACTGTTTTTGTGTGGCAGAATCAAAATTGTTAATGTGTAAATATTACTTAAAACAATTTTTTAAACAATATTATAAAATTTAAATGTTCTGAAATGTAAGCCCCAGACATAAAAAAATATTATGTAGAGTTCAATACTCTGCTAAAAGTTTCACTGAAAATCTGCTTTAGGATAAGTAACGCTGATTTAACAAACAAAACTATTAAGAACTTTGTTTACTCAAACAAACATTGCTGACCCACCTTTTACGGTATTTTGATGTGTGAGAACTTTGACCATTTTGTTTGCAAACTGCACTGAATTATTCTTTAAGCACTCCTTATGCTAGTTAATTATTTATCTTCAACTCTTGAATAATTTAAAATAAAATAGTTTTTTTGTGGGCTAATTATCTTTAATAAAGGCCAACTCTTTACAAAACAAACTTTACATCTTATTCTACATACATCACTACATACATAACTTTACATCTTCTTAGGCATACTATTATTAAAATTTCTAATCTACTTATCATTGCTTGTACACTTAAAATTGATCAACTTAGCTTTTAATTGGGCATTTTATAATTTTGAAACGGTTGGTTCAACCTAGAAGAAAATGAAAGGGAGTTTAGGTCAAAGAAGAAATCGGTCAACTATTTTACGATAACTGTAATAAATGTTGGTTATGATATTCGTAACACAAGGACGCAGTTCCAGAAAATACGGAACCAAAGCATCGACCTCCGCCATAGAGTAAACAACGTCACGCTGTCTTTACTTTCTCTATGGATCAACGACTCCCGCCAAGGCGCTCCACGCGCCACCGCGCCGCAGACGGAACTTCACTTTCCTCTAAGGTCGTCCTTCCTGGACTTATTTTTGGAACAGCTGTTCCCGGGAACTTTTCACCTGTCAAATCTACCTGGTTCGTAATTTGTTGCGTTTGGCGTTGTGAAATAATCTTGTTGAAACAGGAAAACTAAGTTTGTAATAGATGAAGTCCGGTTCTATGATTAGATTAAAAAGATAGATGGCATAGAACCAGAAATGATTGGGGAATGAGCCTAGTAATCAAAAGAACTACGAATAAAAACAATTTACATTACTTAAGTATCAATAGTCCTGTTTTAGAATCTAAATTATTCAACTTAATTTTTATGAGATAAACAATCAAATATGTACCAGGATTGTATCTCAACAAAAGGTAACCTTAAAATTTGCCCTGAAGCTAAACTAACGTATTTCTATGTCATCTACACATTTGAAAATTCAAATAGTTGGTAATTGTTTATGTTCGAATCGTTATTATAAAAAGGTTTTGAACTCGTTCAACCTAATTTAATGAACAATTTGTTAATAATAAAATCACACTTAAGTGATTTTTTGTTTAAGGCTGAACAATAATTGAAACGTTAAATGAAATGTACGGTAGTTATTTTATTCTGAAACAGGTTTAATGGATCCTTTTCATTAGAAATAATAATTTCTCTGTTTAAAATATTTCTTAGAAATTTACTGAGGAGAAAAAGTTTATTACGTCGTTTAAAATCAGTAACAAAATTAAACCAATAAACTTAACACTTTTAAACTGACAGAAACACGATGAAAACAACAGTTTGTTTTGCTATATAAGAGGATTTTGAATTTGCTCGATTTTAGATACCCTAACATGTTGATACGGTAACATATTTTGTAATGTTGACATTTGAAATAATAACTCGTTTGAGCCAATATTTTCGAAGGCTTTCATATTTAGATTTTCAGAAGTTGGAAAGCATATATACTGTAGTATTTTGCGAAACCACTGTAAGCAAAAAGGTGTTAAAAAATGTATTGCGAAGCAAACCCCTAAACTTTTTTCTACGAAATCAAAACAATCCCACAAGCGAAGCTCGACCACCCAAAAATCTAGTTAACCAGCAAATTGCGAATTGCTTCATTTTAAAGTTAGATTTCAGATAAGAAAGCAAGACTATACCTTATCAGTTCACATTGTTGCTAAAACGACCCGTAATAACACGAATCTTTACATCCAGTGTTTACTTTACTCATAAATTTGAATTTATAATCAGGGAAACCAACTTTGTTTCATACTCCAAACAAAGACATGGCAAGGAGGTAATTGACGTATTGTTGGAAAATTTTGTAGCGTCAACAGGTTTATGTTCGATATGAACGTTCTAGGAGGGAAATTTTTCAATATTTTTATGTACTAAAAGTTTAAAATCAAGTCATAAATGATTAATACAAATTTTTCCAGAAATTTAACAGGCTAAAAGCTAAGATGATTATTATTACTTATACGTTTAAGCTGACCATAATACCAAAGGACTTACATTATTTAGAACTTAATTTCAGTTGTTTGTTTGAATTGACTTATAAAATGTTATATAAAGGAAAATCTGGAAGAATGCCTTCTGAAGTCATAAACTATCATATTCTATTTCACTTCTTTCCTACGTGTTTAAAATGTGTAATTGTTATTAGTACAATCATATAGTTAAATGTATACATGTCAGTTAGGCAATGTTTTACCTGAAATTACGAATCACAAAACTGCCGTAAATGAGATGGTTAACAATAATTGAAAAAAATATATTTAATGTATTTAATAATTATTCTGTATTGCTCAGAACAAAATGGCTCATTTCAGCTCCTAATTTTGAAGGGAAAATTATTTAAGGTTCTTTCGGTGCACTTCACGAAATAAAATTGTTTTGAGAAGTCTTGTATAATTCTAAGCTAAGAAAACTTCTATCATTAAGGTCTGAGGAAAGATTCAGTTGGATAAAATTTAATAATAAAATGTCTCATTAGGCCATTTAATTTGATAGCAGAAGAAAAGTAATGTGAAAAATCCTCTTTACAATATGTTAAATGAGAAGGCGGGTGATGAGCCAATTCATTATGAACACTATTTTAAGTCTTACAAGTCTTGTGGAAGATCCTGAAGAAGAAAAACATTTTTTGGAAACTGAACTGTGTGAATTACATATTCAAAACAATTCTGTAACATAGTAATTTAATCCTTTCCTTTTAGCGAATTTTCCCATATATGGATTGAGCTATTTTGCATTTCAACATATTTTATGTTAATTTGTTACCTACAAATTTTTTCCACCACTAATTCATGCAAAACGTTCTGTTCAACATTCCTGTTTTCCTACACATTTTAATTTCCTGGTTTTCTAAAGAAAGATTATTGTATCGGAATACTATTAGTTGCTAAATCTTCAATAGTGAAAACATAGTTTGATATTGTGTGTAAAAATATATTTTTGATGGGAATTACATGCCTTAATTCAACAAATTCTTATGTCTGTCTGTCTATCTGTATATCATTTGATCACGATAGAAGTGGGCAAATAAAGCATAATTTTAGCATAGTAAAGATTTTAAGTTTTGATAAGTCTATGATAAACGCATCCTACGTATTGAAGATAGGTGTTATTTGAGAAGTACAAATATATTTGTCCCATAAAGACTTTTAAAATCTAAAAAATGCCTAAATTCTCATTGTATTCGTAGCTAACATAAAAATAACATCTTTACTGTATGGATTCTTTAATGATACCAATTATTCTAGGAACAACTTGACGTTCTACATCCAATTCTGATACTTTAACTGTTTTATACAATATATAAAAAACCCTATACTCTGGTTACCCACAACCGCTTGAAAAGTATACGTGAAATTATAAATTTTGTAAATTGTTAAGTTAAAAAAAAATAAATAGTCTATGAAGAAATTTAATTTTCAATTTATGGCGCCATACTAAATCTGGATGATTGAGTCTAAATTGAATTTTTGAAAACAATAAAACTGCCAATCCCATTAAAAAATATTCCTCTCTTTCGCACAGTAAATGTTTGTTCATAACTAATAAATCATAATATCGTATGTAAGCTAAGTGCTTAGGATTATTGATTAATAATTAATCAAGGTAATTGAACATATTTGTGTTTGATAATGGTAATACATGGCAACTAATTAACATAATTAGTTTTATGATCAATATTCCCAATCAGTGGAAATGCAGTCTATTAACTTATTTATTCTATTTATCAAATTCGTAATGTGTAATTACATAATTAACTAAATTTCCATTTTTCTGTTTAGGCCAACTTCAGAAACTGAAGTTTACAAAAACTTAATGTCAATGTTTAAAACGGATTTCTAACATGTTTTAGTTCTAGTTCAATTCAAGAACTGCTCTCTAAATGCAGAAAATAAGGAAAACTTGGGTTATAAATAATTTCACGAGAAGTGAATTCACCTTACACACATTCATTTTACCAGGTTTGAAATATGTTTGGCTGAACATTTCGTGCTCAGTCATTTGCGAATATGTTGACATAAATCCAAGTATTCTTATCAAATATTATTTAAGCATACCAAACCATGTTGTACGAATATATTCAAAACAATATCCGGATTCTAGGACTTGTTACAGAGGATGTGTGTAACAAAACGCCCTAAGCAGCAAACCTGCAGACTAAGCGAATTTCCATTTGCCTGATTAAATTAGTTGTATTCAAATATATCCTCAAAACAGGTTAGATTTATTCCCAACTTAAATAACATTAGGTTAATGGTACTTAGGGTTACTGCTATGGGGAAGGAAAAAGTGTTTTTGATCAAATATCTAAAGATAAAAATGAATACATTTGCCAAATTCGATAAAAACTATAAACAAGCAAACTACAAGAGGGGTTTTCCTCAGTAAGAATATCTTAGCAATTTTAAACGTACAGTTTTAGAAATTTTCTCCGTAACCTTCATCGTATAACAACGCTTAAATGTAGAACTGTTTTAGCTCTATAAGATGAGTTTAGTAAATATTGAAAATTTTATGTTTTTTAGGATAAAAGTAAGACAAGTTTTGGACATTTCAAACCCCATAACAACCCCTAACCCAATCTTGCTCGTCCTCAAACTCATTCAAGTTTATGTCACCCTACACGTTCATGTCAAATGAAATTAAAATTGGACCAAAATAAATCGAGTTATCGTGTTCAAATATTACATATTATATTATATTATACTATATCATAGTATATTATATTATATTATATTATATTATATTATATTATATTATATTATATTATATTATATTATATTATATTATATTATATATACCTCCAACTCATTATGTAGCCTTGCTCATGTTTTCTTGTACTGCGTCGATTTTGCTTGTTCTTGTTGTCGATCATAAGAGAATTATTATAATGTTACTTGTTCTTTGTTTCTTTATTAGTGTTAGCAAATTACTAAACTTGTTGTTTCCCATGTTCTTGTTAAATTGTTGTATATTGTTGTTGATCGTAGTAAGATTTTTGACACATACTATTTATTAGATTATTTTTAGTCTGGCCTATCTTCATGTATGTATGAGATGTATTATGTATAAACCTGATGTAACGTTTTGTCATCTTTGTATGTATATGTAAAATGGAGTTTTCCGTTTATAAATAAATAAATAAATATACAAATTTAAACGAATAATGTTTTTGAACTCTTGGAGTTCAAATCAAGAGGTAAATATGTTCCGGGTCTAGGTAAAACATATTATGAAACAATCAGCAAAAGATCGCTAACCACCAAAAATTACATACAAAGTAAAAAAAATGCAGTAACTATTTTCAAACTCACTAGATACTATTTCAAATTCTCCAATAAAACATAAATCGTATCAGCTGAAACATAACTAAACCACCTTAACTGTCCATAACATACCTGCAGCAAGAGCTAGGATCGCCGATGTCGTTATCAGAGAGGTCCACATGGTGACAGATAGGCTACAACACTGAGTTGATTCACTAGACGACCAGAAGGTACAAGCTATAAGGTAGATGCGCTCCCCACCATGGGGGACTGCTTGCATAACGTGACCTTGAGCATCTGGGGGCAAAGGTCAAATGTGTAATATGGTGGCTACCGGTTCCTCTATCACCGGATATTTTCCTATCGTACTTCAGCTTCCTTGTTTTGTCTTAGAAAGAAGGAAATCTACATATAAAATCTATTTTTAGTTTATGGAGTACAGTACTTTAAATATTAAATTTGCTAGATTTTAATATCATGTAGCATTTGTTTTAATTATAATTTATTATCCTTGGTTCCTGAAATTTTTTTTTAATCGTGCTTTGAGATATTTTCTCTTTTTTGGTGGAAGAAGTACTGAGGAATTAAAAATGAAATGTTGCAAATATGGTTATCTATATTATTAATACGCTACATGAAACTAAAATAAGGCATTTTTGTTTTAAGAACTAGCTCCACAAATTATATACTAAAATGGTCGCCTAGGTATGTATTTGCAAACTGACCTTACATTTGTTAAGTCCTAGTGGCTCTGTTGTTTTAAAGTTTCCATGTTATCCTTATGAAGAACATATTTGTTTATATTATGATCAGATAGATAATTTTATAATATTTTAGCTGCGATTTAAGGAAACGTGTGCTGCAACCATTTACTTACTTGGCTTAAATAACATATTTACTATTTGAATTTGGGTTAGCGTAAATATTACAATGGAAGAAGGCGAGAAAGCCTAGGCAATTTGATACACTAAATAGCTTATTTCCTATATGGGAAATTCGCTAAAAGAAAACAGAATTAACATTGTGATGCATTTCTTGAGCAATTATTGTAAAAGCCGATTTGCAAACTTTGGAAACATAGGAAAGTCATTGAATACCACCAAGTAGAAGAAATAGACATTCTTTTTTAGAACTTATAATCGTTATTATGGACAACCTAATGAGGCTACGTCTATGAGTGGGAAACATTTGTAGAAAACACTTAACAAAATCAGCTTTTGGAAAATTATAAGATATTTACAAGAAATGTTGATTATATCGAACTGTTATGTGCATCGTGAGTATTTCCATAATATGTAAATCGACTCTTATAAAGTCATCGGAAATTATCACTGTAATTCGTTTTAAGTTATACTTCGCAATTGCTCGAATTCGAGCAGCAGGTACAATAGTAGTTTATTATGCACTGTGTACAGTCCCTTAACTAATTACATTCTGAAGACTCGTTTGGCCATTTTTCTTATTTTCCTCCACGTGTTGAGTTTCTAGATGGTGTTTTTGGATGTAAATAATGTGTTTCACTTGTTGTTATGTATTGGTTTTGTAAAAATAATAGCTAGGCTAATTGGATTGTCTATCAAAATGTATTTCCTCGCAACCAGGGCTTTCTTTGTTATTTTAAACATTGAAGGGCAAAAATAATATTTTACAAATGAGGTGGCTAAAATCTTTCCCAGTATTTGGGTGTCAAGCAAAACTTTTCCACTATTAAATTTCGGAGGTTTTCATAAAACGTGTTTAAGTGCTACAATATGTTATTTAAGTATAAACTAACTTCATAATCTTTCAAAAGGCATTTTTCCTCACATACTTGTGTTTTCCTTACTTAATGAGGGAAAAAAGAGTTATTTTAGAATGAGAGTTATTCGAAATATTAATGACTGTTAAGTTTTCCCATTTAAATTTATGATTTAAATTTATTACATTATTATATTTTACATACATACAGTATGGTCAATGTGTTTTAAATAGTGTAGTCTGGTTTAAAACTGGTAATAAAAAAAACACTATAAAATATATAGTCTCCGTTTATTTTGTTTTGAGAACAATTGTTACACTCTATTAAATAGGCCTAATTAAAAAAAGTAACTAATATTGACTAATAGTACATAATATTTATTTTATATTGCAACTTTGCCAATGCTAGAAAAACCTATTTGCACAGGATATCTGTACACATGTATGTAGGCCTAAACTCTGGTTACATACATGTTAAACCCATCGGTGTATAATAACATCGATGGTAAAACCAAATGCAACAAATAATGTGATTGTTTCCAACCAAACCAACCAGAGAACGTTTAATGATATGTACAACGGTATTATCAAAGCAGGTATAAATACATTTCGCTTTCAAAAATACATACTGTATCACATTTAAAAAGAAAAATCTATTTTCAATTAGGAATATACTAGTAGATCGATGTTACAAAATCTAGCGCAGGGGACTAAATTTACAATCTTTGTGCAACAAAAACCATTATGATAAAATATATAGCAATTTGAATTATGTAAATTCTTCCATGGCCGTATAAAACAAAATTGACTATATTTCAAGCCCTAAACTTTATTTATAAATGAACATGACTATTTGTTAATGAACTTTCTTACCTCTAAATTCACGATACTACACCAATGAATGAAGGACCCAACCATTTGTGAATAATGTCTCATTATCAATAGAATAGTATTATAGAAATCTAAATGTATATTTATAAGAATATTGCTGATGGAAACTTTATCAATATTTTAGGAAAATCATTTAATGCCTATTAGGGGGAGATTCCTATCTTGGACATTGTTAATAACACTCATGCACTAGTGGTCAATTATAAATCAATATCGTCAGTTAAACTGAACTTTGGTTTTTACAAAATTACGTTTTGCTTGCCAGAATAATTAATTAAATTACAAGGGGTTTTTAAACGCATTTACGTAGTCAAAAGTTGAAGTGGTGTGAATAGTTTTAGGTAATGGTAAACATAATGCTACTGGTAATGATATGTCCAACGGTGTAAATGTAGGAATAGTTAATGAATTAAAAATATATCAAACACAATTTTTATCATCATAAAAACTATTTGTGCAAGCGGAAAAGAGCTAACCAAGTTTATGGCCTCAAAACTGGAAGCTTGCCACTTGGGTGAAATAATGGTTGAAGATTATGTTATCAACAACGAAACAAATGGGAAACAGTATATTCCTGATAGCGTTAAAACTTCCAAAACGAGGTATTTATCCCACGGGGAGAGCTTTGTTTTGTTGTTTCGAAGATTGACAGCACTTCGGTTGTTTTCTCTAATTGTGTGGCAAACAAACTTTATTCGGCCAGATCAGTATAAAGAATTTCCCATATAAGGAATAAGCTATTATTGTAGGTCTCATGGTAAGATTTAGACCTTGGACCGATTTACTTTTTCGTTTTGCAGGCTTTCGTCGCGTCAGGGGGTATCGATCCATAAAATTGTAATGGGCCCTTTTCAACTGTGACCCCAAAATTGGTTCGATACGTTGTTTAATGTTAAGTAAATGGAGGTTATAATTATAGACGAGTATTAAATTATCGATACAGTAAATTTGGTGTTTTAACCAACAACCCAATAAGAAATATTTATATTTATAATTTAATTACCATTGTAAAACGCTTTTGTCCAGTGATTTTAGTTGATTCTGTTTTTTGTTAGTGAAAATCAGTTAGGGCGATCTAAGACCGGTGTGTGGAACATACAGCTGGCAATGGAGTGATAAGTGAAGGAGTGGACACTAAGCATTCAAAACAGGTTCATATTTGAACCAAAGCCAGAGTCTATGAATTGAATTCCAAGTCTGTTAAAACACTTCCAAGTCATCACTGTTGGAACTTCTAGTATAGAATATGGAATACGGGTTATTCTAAACATTCAATGATGATTCAATCAAAAATTGTCTTACTGTGTTTGATAAAAAAAACAAAAACTACTATGGTTTTACTAACTTGTGATATTAAATCATGGGTATTTAACGAGTATTTACATGTCTCGATTAAAAGTTCAGTTTTGGTTTTTACGTTGCTGACATAAGATGTGTCAGTAAAATTTTGTCTTTTTGTAAAGAAATTGTTCATATCACGGACATAATTACATCAATAATTGTGGACAAGTAGTTAGAAAGTCACATACTTAAAAGCGTAATGATAATGTTAACCGGTAATAATTTACTCCAAGGATCGAACCAGGCTCAATATTTGACTAAGTTCATTGAGAAATAAAAATGTAAACTTAGTTTGGTAGAATCGATTCGAATATAAAGTTATAGTTTTGGTATTGGCCATAGTTTACAGTTATGTACTATTACTATCTCATAATTGCATTGATATAATGTAGCTAACAAAAGGGAGGAATTGGATACTTTTCTAGGCTTAATGATCAGTTAAGAAACATTTTAGTTTGTCATATGGGTAGTTTGGTACCATGACACAATGAGTATTTAGCAAAATCGGCAGTTATTAGTTAACCTTTTCTTCGTCATTTTATTTTCAAGTTAATCAGATCATAAACGGTGGGTGAGGTTGAAAGGAGTCCCTTTATCCATCAACGAATGAAATTCTCACATTGACATATTTACTATAATAATCAACTTATCACAACTAAGAACGGCTACAATTGCACCGAATGATTACTGCTGCTATGGCTGCATACTTTTTCTTACTCAATAATTTTAGTCCATCCCTCTATAAATAGTATACGGAGAAAGTATTTTTTCACCAACATTTTCGAGTTTGAGTTTTGTGAGGATATTCGCCCCCCCACGGCACAAAATAATTGGTTTTTGAGAAAATTCCTGTGTGTGTATTGGTGTGTGTAGATTTGAACAGAGCTTCATACGAAATTCGGTACGTATTTACTAATCCATGTTATCTCTACGGTTTTGGCAGTTTTATTAAAACTTGATTCATAATTTGGTGATTTTCCAATTAAATCCATAAATTGACGGAAAATCTGATTAAAAAGGAAATGGCCCAATAGATTTTAAATAAAATTAAGTATGTTGTAGTTCTGTTAACAAAACAAGGTACAACCCCTATTGCTGTTAAAATAAAGATAAGAAGTTTTTTTAACTTATGGAATTTTACACAATAATCTAAATCCACAAAAATAACGGTAAAATTAGATTTAAAAGACTGCTCAACCGATCTTGACACAAATTTAGTATGTTATATTCATTTTAACTCTAAACAAAAGTGTACAACTCCCTATGATGTACAAGTTATGCTTCTAAAGCTATTGCAACTTCGTGATTTTCACCATAAAATATCATAGTTACTCCCACCAAAGAATAAGAGTTGTTGAAAAGCTAATGAGAGAAAGTATGTGTAAGATTGCTGATACCGTTTATTTTGTATTATGAATAGGCCTAATCTGATTCATTTAAGTTTAACATGAATGAGACCAATTATAAATAATAAACACAAATATTTAGGGTGTAAACAATATTAACCATGAATTAATTTTCATTTATATTTATAAACATGATACATTAAAACATAGAGGCTAGTGAACTAACTACCATAAAATCACAAGCATAAGCTTGCTAGCTTATCTCGTTCTTATCAAGAATGCCAGGTCATTAGTTTTACAAAAAGGAAAACTTTTATACTTTAGTCTACAAATTAGAATACGAATATAACCTAGATTGTGAAATGTTAAAATTACATCTACGTACTTACAATCACCTTGTTTTCAATTCAGGTACAACAAAAGAAAACAAACTGACATGCGGGTCCGCAAACGAACTCAACAATACACATCAACAACTCATTGTTTATCTGAAACATAACAAAGGGCAATAACAGTAACAACTAGTTGCGAAAGTCACTAATTGGCGTTACCTACTTCTACATCGTTCAGCTTACCATTCATGGCGGTAGAAATTTGCTAGTAGTTCAAGTATTTCACATATAATTGGTTTAAGAGTCTTTGGAGCCTTGCGGCCACCTTGGATTATTTCAAACAGCTGTTGAAGGGCTATTTATCATCCGAGAATATTTTTTAATACCAAAGGTATTGTAATTTAAGTATCGAGTTAACTGTGGGATCAGAAATTGCCTTTGTAGTTTTGTCATTGTTTTCGAAGGGAGTCCATGGAGGCTAACGGCAATTTTGGATTTGTCCACCATAACAATAATGTTAATTTTGTTAATTTCACACAGCCACTAGACTTATTTACCATCCCAAGATATTTGATAATGGTTTAATTTACCTCTGTCAATAGGTATTATTACCTCTGCCAATATATTTGTTCAAATACCAAGGTGATTGTAATTTTCATATCGAGTGCACTGTGGGATTAGAATTTTCATCCTACTTTTGTAATTGTTTTATGAGTTATAACTTCTAGGCCCCAAGCAAGAGTCCTTAAGCAAGAGTTAAGAAACCCACGTCTTGAACTATATGGCATTATTTTTTTTATGTTGTTTGTCGGTTGATTTAGTTTAATTTAGTTTTAATTTAGTTTTGTCGGTTAGTTTTTAATTTAGTCGGGGTTTGGATAAAAAAAAATGAGTTCCCCCGAAATTCACACAAAAAACTTTCAAAATCTTAAAATGAAACTTCCTGCTAAGATTGCACGACCACCAAAAACATATCTCTGTACATTTTCTTGGAAAGATATTTGATGGGGGGTTTTGACTTTTTTCACCCTGTATAAATAATGATGTGCTCAACTGACGAAATGGTATTAAAGCAAATGGAAGGTCTTGGATTGAATCATGATCCTGGATCAATTGTTTCTGCTTCCAGGGTTAAAACAGAGTTAGGGTTATCTGCCATGAATTTTACAAATGGCTGGTTTTGCCGATCCTTTATAAAAGTCTAAGGATTTGAATTAATCTTGATCGCAGTAATAGATTAGAATCGTGTTCGTACAGGTTAATAAAAAAAGCCTACACGTAAATATGAAAAGAGGAAAAATGCCTCTAAATCTTAATTGAGTGGAAAACCCCTCTGTTTGAGGGGAACCAATAATGGAGGGCTGTAATTAATTGCCAACTGATGCACCCTGGCAAGAGAGAAATGCTTTCGATTTTGATGGGCAAAATAATATGAGAGTTTTTTGACGGTCCAGGCAAATTTTGTTTTCTTTCATCTTACAAAATCACATGCTTAGATTGTCGATGTATGTTCCAGGCATCTGAAACGGAAAATAAAGGAAAAATTGTTTTGGGTGATGGTTGTCATAATTGAGTGATCTTTATTACCCCAAATCTGTGGGGATTCATAACTGTACCTCTTTTTTGATTTTCCAATTATTTTTTTCATTTTCCAAGCTGTTATTTCAAGATGAGATTTTACTGTTAATTAAATTAAGTGTAAAATCTGGAAGGTCATCACAATACTTGTATATCTTAAATCTGTTGATGAGGGTGTATCAGAAATTCTTTGCACCATTTTTTGATGATCATCAATAAACCCCTACCCTCCTCTCTTTATTTGACCTTTTATGTTAACCAAACCATTTGCATTTTTGCTTATTTCCAAGAGAAGGCTCAGTGTGGTTTTATTAAAACAAATTAATATCGAAACTTGTTATGATTAGTATACAAATAAACAAAGAAGTGATGTGTAAGTAGACATTTAATCATAAATAAAAAAAATCAAACCAGTTATTCACAAAAAGGGTTTCCAAGTATATAGAAACGTGTAATATATATATGTGAACTTTCAGCTCAATTATCCTTGAACAGGAATTTCGTCTAAAATTAAAAAATATAGGATGCAAAAGTGCACACACATTTTTACAGTATTCCAATATCTTCGTTTCTAGGTTAATTGAGACATTGTTTTGAATATTTTCCTTAGTAAGATTCTCCTCTATACTCGAGCAAAAGCAATATCCTCTTCGAATACAAACAATTAAGCGTAGCTTTGAACGCTATTGGTGGATTCCGGCAAATATTGGAATGGAACACACTGAAACACAAGCTGCTTCATATTCAGCACGAGTTTTCATGTTTTCGATTAAATATTCCATAAAAGTACTAAGATATGGATCGTAATTAAACTCTGAAATTGAAACAATTTTAAAATCATACAATAGAAATTCTTGAATCAGGTAGTTATATGGTAAATACAAATTTTTGATTGAAATGTAGTATAATAAAGTAATTTTTACTCTCAACAAAATGCCATAACCTGTAATTGTACATTTAAAAAATAATGACAATTTGTATATTTTCCTTATAAAACTCATAGTTACTCCTGATTACCTATTGTTATTGTTTCACCCTTACTGTATTAGGATGATCAATACTAATGTTAGGCTGATAGAAGAAAGTATGTGTCAGTTTGCTGATACCTTTTATTCTGTCACACAATAAAACCAGAAATATAGTACCTAGAAGAAATCAGACCAATAGAAGCAAATACCAACCCATCGACGTTATTGGTTGGATTCTGATAATTTTATCTCAACCTCGGCATCGGCTTACACCCTTTGTGAGAGTTTTGTTATTCAGGGATTATCCTCTGAAATGATTCAATGTAAAACCAAATATAGAATTCTTGTTATTGAATGCATGTTTTAGTAAATATACTAAAACATAATTTGAAAGGGGATGAGTACAAACTGGGTTTTGGTGAAAAGTCATGATAAAAAAGTGTTTAAAGGCTTAAGTTGCTGTTCTTAATTAAAATTTGTGTTCATAAATAAATTAACTGAAAATATGCAATTAATACATCAAAACTTGAACAAACTTCTGGGAGCCGTATAACACATCAACGAAAAAATTGAAATAAGTTGAAGACATTAGCTTAATTATAACAATCAATACAAGTTCAATTAATACCCCCGCCACAGCAAACCTGCCGACTAAGCGAATTTCCATTTGTCTGAATTGATTCTCAATAAAATTTATTTAAATAACATTTTAGGTTTAATGAATACCTAGGTTTTCTGCTACAAGGAAACTAATAAAGTGTGTATTTTAGTAAAATATTAATAGTTTAGTATAAAATAAATAAATTTGCCAAGTTTGATCAAAATATATCACCAAAACAAGCAAAATACGACAGTTTACAATATTCTCCATAAGAATAACATGGGAATTTTAAATTTACAATTTTTTGAATTTTCTCCGTTACCAATAACCGTACAAAAACACTTTGATATACTAAATTATTTGTTTTTTTAAACTCTTTAAAAAGGTCTAGAGAGAAATTGGGAAATTTTGTGTTTTGAGGGTCAAAAATGAGAAAAACCATTTTTTACCCCATAAAACCTCCCGTAAAACCCCGTTGCCATGGTCCGATCATGCTGGTTCGCGAACTCATTCAAGTTTATCCCGCCTTACACCGTTAAGCCAAATTTCATCAAAATCGGACAAAAATTACTCAAGTTATCGCGTTCACGGACGTATATATGTACAGGGTGTCTCAGACCACCCGGCCGGCTTGTATAGCTCCAATATAAAGCAAATGGAAACCTAATTGCAACTGGAACCCCCTATTTTGACCCCAAGGAATTCAGCTAAATTATTTTCAACCCTAAAAAAGCACCCCAAAGGGCAGATTTTGGGGGGTGGGGGTGGTTTTTGGGAAAATTTCAAATGTAAAGGGGGGTCGTGTTATACCTCTTTTTAAAGGTCCTTTAGTCCTGAGTATTTTAGTGGAAAAAGATTTAAATTATCTTCATCCCTATTTACAGGGTGTTCAAAAACTTACAAAAAATAGACTTTTGAACTACTTTTTACTGTAAAGAGGTGGAATTTTGTGGGGGGTTCAAATTTGCATAACACTTTAATTAATAAATGAGCTTTCAAAAAACTCTGGTTTTAACCCTTTTGCTATCTTTTTACTTATGTTACGCATTTTCAAACTTTTTGAAGTTTCAAAAGCTGTTATCTCAAAATTTTCAAATGGCAACATGGGTTTATTTACAAACCACATTGTAGCCCTTAAAATTTTCTATAATTTTTGTATTTAATGTTTTTTGGTATCTTCATTGGTTAAAGAGATATAACGAAATTAGTGTATTTTAATGTTTTATTAAATGGTATTCAAAGTGTTTACTGTTGCAAATGTACACCTCTAGGTCTCAATTAAAACAAATCTTGTCTAAAAAAATAAAATAGGACTCAGATTGTCGATCCTGGAAGATTTATAAAGGAAAGAACACAACTGCAAATATTCTTAGTTATTCTACAATTCCATGGCTCTAATAGTTCTTTGAATGAATAATTTGTTTGAATCAGCATTAATAGCCTACATACCGATGGACTTCTACAAATGCTTAAATTGCCTTCCATTTTGTTCCATGCAAACCCCAACTCTGTTATGCACGTAGTACTTCTTCTCCACTATTATGGTACTTTATTGCTATTTTACTACCGCAGGTGCATTCACCTCTTGTACAGATCCAGTAAGTTCCTTATAATTTGTTTTATCTGATCAAACGTGACCAGTTTCACGCACACGCTCATTGATTTCATGATGATTTTTTTTTATTTACCAGTTAGACAGTATTCATTCAAAGCACTATTCGATCTTTGTAATTGTAAAATAACTAAGAATATTTGCAGTTTTGTTTTTTCCTTTATTAATAATCCAAGTTTAACAATCTTGGTAGTATTTTAATATTTTAACATAATTAGTTTTAATTGAGACCTAGACGTGTACATTTACAACAGCAAACACTTTGAATACCATTTAATAAAACATTAAAATACACTAATTTCGCTATATCTCTTTAACCAATGAAGATACCGAAAAAAACATTAAATACAAAAATTATAGCAAATTTCAAGGACTACAATGTAGTTTGTAATGAAAC